TGGTGCTGTGGAAGTGCTGAAAATGGAAAAGTGAACAATAAAACTTCTGACTCAACATTACAGTCGACCAAATACTTCAAAGTGGCTATTAATATCAATTTTGGGGATGCAAGAGTGATTAGTATTGTGATGACGACACTATACCGAAACACTCGGTTTAGCGTGTGCACCCGCGACACACAACTATGAGCGCAAGAAGCACGCGAGCTACCGCGAGCATGTCAACGCGTAATAGGTCAAGCTGTCAAGCTTGGTCAAAACGTCCATTGCAGTTTTAATGTGCTGGACAACACGGCACACAGCGCAGAGCGAGGAATTCGCACCAGACGGCACACAACACCGCAATCTAGCCAGCTGTTATATACCGGAGATGTGTACACACGCGCACTTTTTTGAAAGTTTGAAGCAGAATTTTATGTTCCATCTTCCCTCACGGACGCCACCTATGCCCCGCCGCATAAACGCCACAGCGCGCACACCACACGCAGCAGCGTCACACAACCACGCACACGCGCACACAACACGCACACGCAGCAACACACACGCACACGGCGCAACAACAATTCCCGACCCCTAAAAAAGACACCAAAACTTCCACCAGACCTTTCACGGGGGCGGGGTTGCGGTTTACCCGTACGTCAACAGTTTTTACCAACTAACGACGCGGGTGCTTGGGGATCGCAATGCTCAAACACGATCGCGCCTAACATCACTCGCACCACGCACGCAACACACAGCACGCGCACCACTACCACGCCGCCGGCAAACGGGCGCACGGACTGAGAACGGACGGCATCTATCAACTACGGCCACGAGCGGCGCCGAAGCAGGTCACAAATAACTGCGGCGGGAACACTGCAACTGCACACGCCGCTAACGGAGCACTTGTATTGGGGAACACCATTTAGGGCCCTACGAAGGAAGAACACAACGCCCACAAGTCGCCAGACACGAGCGGCAGCGGGGGAACGCGCACGGCACAACATACGAAGGGCAAGGTGGCCCCGCGGAAATATTGTGTAAACTACCGGACCACCATAATATTTGGCTTGAGTGTGTGTATGTAGAGGGCTGGTTTGTTCCCCGTCGGGTAGATTTGCAACTGTGGGTTAGGTATTGTATAACAGTAAAAGACTAGTCGTCGAATACGCGGCGAGAAAAGAACTGGTATCTTCCTTTTAGCCACCGCAGGGACAGCACACACGGTGGGCGCACTAGCCAACTGGCGGCACAGATATCTACGGTCGCAGCGGCTCGAGCGAGCACGCGCACATGCGATATGCCGCGCCAGCGAGACGACTCTTTACTTAGCACAGACGAGCACAACGCAGCACACCCGTCGCCACCTTGACACACGTGTTTCATAATCGCCACAAACAGTCGTCATCACCACACACGCTTTCCTTCCGTCGCCCTGGCGCATCCACTGGCTGCAGCCAGCTTCGAGAGACTGTATATCCAACAACGCGGAAGATGTCTGGGTTCGACGGCTGGCCCGTGCGTCCGGGACGCTCCGCCCAGCCCGCCCCCGTCTGCTCTGCTTTGGCGAGGTCCCAGTGTTGATGCATGGTGTAGGGCGGGCTTTTTGATGAATTTTTTCTCTAATTTAGGGATCACTTTCTTGCAAAACGCCCCGATGGGACTCATGCTTACTTGCTTTTGAAAGAAGATCAGACGCGCGCGACTCGGGCGGAGGAGAACCCTATCCGAGTTGATCTCCCGGTGGAAAGGCTCCGATACGCATGCAACTTATAAGTTTCAACATCTAATCGAGTCTAACAACAACACGTCACAACTTTGCTCTACACGCACGAGAGCAACGTACGAAACTTGTCATAATCTATTACGTTCAATTTCGGTTACGAGGCTCCACGGAATCTCTCGAAAAGGCGGGATTCGAACCCGCGACCTCTTTCCGCAAGCGCAATGACATCGCGACGAGGCGCACCATATCGCAGACGACGCACTATCGCGTAACACTATCTGACGCTACGTTCTTTGTCACAGCTAACGCCGTCTAACACGACAGACGCGAGCGTAGAGACACTGACCGCACAATGACAAACGAAGACCATCCACTTCACAAGAATCGAACCCGGAACTCCAAATATAACGTAGTACCACCTTAACCACTGAGCTAGCGGAGGCACCTGTTACATTCTATCGATTTAAAAATACTTATCTTTAGGTTTTGGGTTCTTTTAGGATGACGACTTCGGCCATTCGGCAATGGCTTACACGGTGCGTACATCGTGAAATGCGCAGTTTCTGGCAGAGTTTAATCTATTTCCTCTCTCTACAAACATGCACCTATTTGAGACAAGCAGGTTCTGCAATATATCTAGCGCATCAACACGTGGACACTGTCAAACGTTGTACGCAATCAGAAAAGAACTATGACTTGCTAATAATAGACTGACCTTAACATACAGATAACAGCCTAGACAGCGCGCACCAACCGCACACGCGGCACACCACACGCACAAGGGCGCCCACAGTGGACAAACGGTGTGTGCGTGGTAGGCGGCAAACTGGCCCCAAGTTCGTATTGTAGGGTCTCAATGCTTGCTGCAGACACTATCACAAAATCAACATACAGCAGCACTACTTACACACCACAGCACTATCGTCGCCCACCACACCACGTTCACCTAGCGCCCGCTACGAGCACTGGAGCTGTCCCACAGCGCGGACTCAGCCAATCTACGCACGACAATAAACAGAAAGGGCCCGGCACGCACGAGCAGTATACGAAGGCGACCTATCGCGAGCGAGCCACAGCTGCCACCCGGACACTGCGGCGCGACCACCACACGACCCGGCCCCGTCCCTGACTTTGGCAGGCACACAGATGCACTGTCGCACTGCCACACTGTGCTGACACAGCGCATCTCTAGCATGGCACTTACTTGTTTCTCTAAATTGTCAGGATCACTTTCTCAAAAAACGCCCGCTCCTCGATGGACCTCAATGCATTGCTTTTCGAAGAAGATTCAACGCGCGCGACCCGGTAGAGGGAGACCCTATCCGCAGTGATTCCGCGGGAAAGGGCGCGTAAATGCAACTAGTAAGGTTTTAACATAGTCACTTATAACATTACGAACTTATCCGAGAGGCAACCGTACGAAACCTGTAATAATTCTATATACGTTAACACGCTGTCTACTCGTATCTACAGCACGACGCGCAGCACACGGGAATCTCTCGAAAAGGGCGGGATGCGGGATTCGAACCCGCGACCTCCTCTTCCGCAAGCGGCAATGCATGCACGGCCCCATCGTGACACGCACCAACCCGTTCTCAAATTATTGTATATTAGTTATTCTTAGAACTATTTTATAATCTGAATAATGGAATTAAATAAATGCCACTGAAAATGTTGAAATACGAAATTTCCGCACTGAAAGCATGTATTTCGCCATGGGACTACGTCTCACTGTCGTCACTGACTTTTCATCTTATATAGCATATTTTTGGACTGAGTAGGTGCGCATATTGAAAGACACGCTCTCACAAATGTTTGAACAAGCAATTTTACAAACCGAGAAATACGTTGCCACTCTCTCACGCGTGACATAGTAAACTAATATCCTTTATAATTATATTTACCTTTTATCTTTTGGCGTAAAGGTCTTCAAAATGACACTGGAAGGGCGGAAAAAGAATTTAGTTTCGCAGCTCCCACACGACATGCCTAAACTTTGCCAATGTTCCTACGATATGGTTCCTACTAATATTCAAACTTCTCGTCTCTTGAAATGAAGTATAATCTTCAAATCTTTACCACCTACGCTACGTCTTCAAACACTTTATACACATTTTAGTGGTTTATTCAATTATTGATTTTTGTAAATTACTAAAACAATATATTACCTAATTATTTAATAATACTAATGAATATTAATTTGAAGTTAAAAGACTGAAGTAAAATGGACATGTTGCATTGTCATACCTCGTCAACATTACACATTCGTTGTTGAATGCGAATTTTTTTTTCGGGCTCATTTTCCTATGAAAACCACATTACTTTAACAGTGTTTTATATTAACTTAAATACTTATTTCTCAAACGAATTAATTAATTCAATACATTCATAAGATCCCACTTTCAATGACTTTTCCATTTTTATCCTTAGCAGTTTCAATCAAAAAGCAATAAGATAAAGTGTAAATTTATAAATTTTTCATAATAAATTTGTTCGAAGGTCTCCTGAGGTGCGATTACCTATAGAGCACTTGCAGTGCACATTAACAGGATGTTGTCATCTAAATCTTATCTCTTGAGGTTTTATTAATAGAAAGGATTTTAGAATATTGTTTCTCTGAATTTATTCTTGAAAGCTGGGACAACTGCCATTAATTGAATGAACATGCATAAAGCAGCATTTGTTACTTATGGAACGCATGGGAAATAGCATTAAGTATGTACAAAACTATTTTGTAAAAAATAGAACTTAAACGTGCAGTGAAAATTTGCGTTTGGCAAACTGACTCTTGTGTCTAGACGATTAGAGTGGGGCTCTATTTAAAATTGCTTTAGTGACCTTGCAAGCCTGTAGCAATGCCCAGGTTTCAAGGTCGGTATTAGAAGTACTATTAACTTTTCAGAATCAAGGGGGTTTTTACTCTAGGTACAGGCTTTGAAAGAGCTGTCTGGAATGTTCACAAGATTTTCTCAAGCAACTATTCAGTTGTACATAAGCTGATTTTGGGTGCACATCTGTATTGGTTGTGTCAATTTGAATATGCATCAAACTTCTTAATAAGCCCTAGACAATATTAGCCTACTATGGGTACCTATTGTCATTCTGATGTGATAGATGGAAATACACCAGAATCCTTGTTTGATATTACAAACATCAAAACTTCTAGCTGCTGACAAAAATATAAATGTCATTGAAATTCTTCAGGTCAAATTAAGTTATGAAATTGAGGACAATGGGTGGTGGTCATTTACAAAAATTATAGTGGTAATTTTACTTTTGAAAAATAAAAACCATTTTCAGTTCAGTTTAAAGACTTTATTACACAATACATTTTTAAGAATTTTCACAGCCCATTTAAAAGTTGGAATATTTTTGTAAATTGTACTAGGTTTTAAAATGTAACAAAAAATTAACTTTGCTTTGAGGTGATGTTAACATACGCCAACAAATGTAATTACTTTTATGGCAATGTTCGTCCCCAAATCACAGCTCTCTTTTTATCACTCGGAAACTTGAATTTCACATCCTACATTTCCCAACAGACCAGATCTAGTTGTTTTGAAAATCCAGGAGTTTCGAGCTATTAAGGACACCAAGGGGGATGGTGATGTGAGAAAGACTAAGAAAGCTGTGCCATTTTGGCTGAAGGCACACCCAAAAAAACCTTTCGAGAAATAAAAATACTGTTGCAAAGACGTTGAAAGTATATTTAAAGGCAAAGCAATTTTGTTAAAAATCATATCTTCCTTACATTTGTCATCGTACTTCAGAAATGTTGAGTTTGCTGATATTTTTTATCATAATTGTTTTTAAACCAGCATAATTTATACAAAAACACATACACAATCATTGTTAATGTACTCCTATTCAATGCAAATAACAAATTGAGCTGTAAAACTTGAAGACCATTGACCAGAATTTACCAAGATATTGCAGAAAGTTTGCTTGCATATGGTGTAGATGACGCCTCTTTTACGTTATACCTGAAACAAGTAATTTTTGTCATTATTTTGCAATTAATTGGTACAGGCAATTTTATCAAATACTCACAATAACAAGGGAAATAAAATGAAAAACTTAACCCTGTGACCGTAGCTGATTCATACAGGTTGACATTTTTGTACACTCACCAAGTTATGCCAATTGCAGTTAAATAAGTAATGACTTACAGTAAATATTATTCAAGTAGAAATTTATTGAAAATTTAAAAAATTAAAACTGGCATTGCAACAGGAAACTCAGAAAACAAAGCATAATGATTAGTGTAGCTATATTAGTAGGCCATGTCCATGACCCCACTGATTTAGTAAGTTGAGAGCAATTGTCTGAACTACAATTTATCACTAATACTAATGCTTCTGTTTCTGTGCTTGAAGGGCCTTCTGTATGATCATGTCCTGACAACCTTCTTATATCATTCAGCCAATAGAATAAGTATTTTTTTTTTCCGTTCTGGAGCATTACAGTCTCTGAATATTGTTTTACCATAGCAGACACTTTAAAGCAGCATGGTTCTTATTTTGCACAGCATTTCTTGTTCATTAACCATAACATCTTATCCCAAGCAGCTCAAGAAACTAAGAAATAGGCATCAGAGAGATTGAGGCCTATGTTTTTGGAAAGAAGAAATAAAACAATTATAAAAAGGGACCATAGGTAGGTATCTAAAATTCCTCCAAACTAAATTACAAGATGATGAACATTAATGTAATTATACCAATGTGCCAAAGTGAAAAAATAATTTTAAAAATTGAATAAGGAGAGCTGGGATAATTATATAAGCAATATTGAGTACAGTGTTCATGGCACTCAGATAATGTCCTACAAATCTCTGTAACATTTAAACACAGAAGCAAGAGACTGTCCATCTCTGTAATATCAGCACAAGAGATTGGTTAGTGTATTTTACTAATCGATGAACAAACCACACAAACACATTTTAAAGAGCAACTACCACACTTCTGAAATAATAAATAATATTAATCATCTAGAATATAATGGATTAGAATTGTATTTATCCTATGACAAGTAAACCAAAAAAGAAGGTAATCTATTCTCCCAACATTCATCCTGTAATGTGCTCCAAGGGCTATCCCTCGGCTTAGCATCTTGCAAAACTTTTATAAGAACACAAAAATAACAATACAAATACATAACAAGAAGGCCTACAGAAATACATAGGTTGTCAATTGAAGTTGCCTATTGCCACTGGTATTTTTTAATATTTATGGACTATACAGAAAAATATCAAAAATATCAAATGGAAGAAATGAGTAATACATGCCTTACAACTATGCTATTGGCAGATGATCAACTCTTATTGCAGAATTCAAGGAGGACGTTAATAGCAGCTTATAAACTACTGGAAGTAATGGAGCAACATAATATTAAAATGTCTATTATTAAATCTAAAATCATTTTGTAGGTTCACTTTTGGCTGTAATAGGATTTTGAAAGTCTGCTTTTAATTTCTTAAACATGAATGTGTAATATTTAGTAACATGTGATCATGATGCCAAAGTAAGTAACTTTTAAAGAATGCTTAGATCAATTAGGAAAACCTTATTTTACAAAGCACTAGCTGTCCGATACCACAGCTTTGAAAATTGGACCTTGAATACAACACCAAATAGAAAAAAATTTAACTAGTGAAATTACGTTCCTGCTAAGTGTTGCTAGTTATACTTTATTAGATCACAAAAGTGTGGATATACGGCAATAAGTAAATATTTTTAATCTCTCCTCCAAAAAACACAAAACTGTTTTAAAATGTTCAAAATTGGTACTCCTGCATTATATGAATAAACAATGAAAGACTCCTTTAAGAACTAATAAATTATGTACCAGCTGGCTAAGAAAAGTTTTAAGACCAAAGATACTAAATAGAAGTCACTGGGTGGAACCTGGCTTCTTAATCTTTGCTGTTCAAGATGAGGCTAAAGAAGATCTTTGAGGTCAAAAAAATCAGTGTCTGGAAATTGTCATACAAATCACACTAAACCCAGTGATCAAAATGTTATGTAGATGTTTAAAACATAACAGCAT